AGGATATATTACACAACAGAGCACTAGTGTCCAAGTTGTTCTCTGAATATTATTGTTTGAAAGAGAATTAAGTTGTGGACTTTCTGGAAGGTCCAGAAGAATATGCAAAGTGATCATGATTCACATTAGTTGTTATGTATAAGTTGGCCAAGAGAAAGAAGAGGATGCATAATAACACAGAGAATGAACATCAGTTCAAGCAAAGAGACTCGTTCTGGTTTTAGCATACACCAGCAGCAGAATTTTGGACAGAAAAAATAAATATATGAAGTGTATTATTTATATAAATTGGTTTTGTGGACAGAAACAAAGAGTAATCTGTCTTGTTGCTCTTTCAGTTTACAGTCATGAGATGGAACATAATGCTAAACTTTAATGACTGTGTAGTTCACATGTTAATAAGTTGTGTATTGGACCAAGTTTTTATAAGGTGCTGGGGAGGGGAGTGCCACACAACATTTGTATTAAAGTAAATGTGCCTCGAGCTGGAAAAAGTTGAGGAACACTGACTTAAACCCACAGATCCAGCTTGACTGGACCTTATCTTGTACTGCAGTGACTCTGTCCTTCATATTACAAAATTCTGTGGTTGTGTGGTAAAAGAAGGAGCTGAGATGTTGAGAAACTGAAACTGTATGTTAATCCAGACCATCTGTAACACTGGTTTGATTAAAAAAGTTTAAACTACAGATGATGTTGAGGGCTCTTCAGAAAACTACTCTGAGCTGGTGGAGGAAGAGGATGCTCCACCATTCTTGGCTGTTTACCAGGAGTTTGAGGAGTCACTATCTGAGTGACCAACACACTCAGATTCACAGCAACATTGACCTCCCCCGAGTAATTTTGGCTGATAGTAAGAGATAAATCTGCAGTTCGGACAGTTAAGTGATAAAAGACAATGTGGCTGCAAAATCAACTAGTAGAAAGGAGTTACAAAACTTACTTTCAGACACTTTACTAATCACTCAACCACAGTTGTTAGGAACAATGCACAGTGACAGTGAGAGAATCTGGAATGCTAGCAGTTTAAGCTGTTAACACTAGCTAGAGTGCCTGGAACACCACTGACATTGTTGAAAATACCATATTTGAAACATCTAATTAATAAAAATTCAACATTTTATTCTAGTTCTAAGTTTGCATGAAAAACACCAAGCATCATGCTTTACAGTAGGAGTAAATATGAATATAGAAGATATGAAGAATATGCAAATGAAGAAGGAATAAACCTGCATAGGAGAATCTTATCATACATACACAATGAGGAAAAAGGAAATACAGAGAAACAAAACTATTTCTGCTATTAAAAAGTATAGAGTAAAATTGCATATAAACCCCATAAAATGACATGAAAACATGCTTATTTGGTATCCAATGGAATATTAATTATTCAAAAAGAATAACTGAATCTGCTACCTGTGTTAATAAAAGTAACATAATTCATCCTTAATCTCCAAACTGAAAGTTGTTGGTCAAAGACAATTCCACATCCAATTGTTTATGGTCTAATATCTGTCTTTCATGAACCTCACATTGTTGTGGTAATCATGTGCCTGTGTACTTGGTGTATCTTGAACCTTGGAATACCATAATACCTAGGTTTTTAGTATATAAATATCTTCAAGTTACAATCACTTTCTACAAGTAAATTTTGAAAATGTACAATAAGAATATGATCCACTCTCCTGTTATCATTTAGTCCTATCATTCAAAGCAGAAGCTATCATTTAAATCAACCATCTTTAAAAAAATGTAACAAGAGGTTAAGGATTGGAAATGTGAGCCAATTGTTACTAGTTTTTGTAAGTCCTTGAATAGTTGACAGGTACCAAAGAATTGGAAGTTAGCTAATGTCATTCCTATTTTCAAGGGAGATAATAAAAATTGTTCCAGTAATTATAGGCCTATTGGTCTTACAATAGTTGTGAGAAACGTTTTGAAAAGTCTGATAAAAGATGCTTTGCAAAGTCATTTAACAAGGTTTAGAATTTTATTGGATAGTCAACATGGTTTCTCTAACGGAAAATCTTGCCTTACAGATCTTTTGACATTATTTGAAAAAGTTACTGCTTGTATAGATGAGGGTAAGGGTGTAAATTTGGTGTATCTGGATTTTCAGAATGCCTTTGACAAGGTGCCACATCAAAGGCTCATAAAAAAAAAAGATCTCTTTATGTGTGGGGGATAAGTTAGCTAATTGGATAGAAGAGTGGCTGAATGGAAGAAAGCAAAAGATTGTTATCAATGGAGTTCAGTCAAATTGGATTGATGTCACAAGTGGGGTACCTCAGGGCTTTTGCTATTTTTGATTTACATCAGTGACATGGATGAAAGAATGGTCAATAAATTACTTAAATTTGCAGAAGATATTAAGGTCTTAGGTGTTACTAACTGTGAAGAGGATGCTAATGCCTAACAAAAGGATTTAGATCATTTAGTGAGTTGAGTGATTAAATGTTAGATAATAATGTTATAATAAATGCAATATAATGTCTGTGGGTTATCATAATTTGAATTATAAGT